CCATTTGGAAACTCGGGCACTGCCTGAGGGCCCGGGGTCAGTAGGGGGCCCCATGAGATGCCCCCGGTACCTTTTTCATAGGCTTTTTTTAGTTTGGGCAAGGACACAGGGGCCCCATGATCCCCTATTGCCCGGGGGCCCCATGAGTTGTCAGTCCGCTCCTGTTTCAGAGGTACCAACTAAGAACAATAACATTGAACTAAATGGGTGTCCTTTCATCACCTCTTTTTCTGTTCAGCATTACTCTATTAAAAATATCATAAATAAACATTGGCACATTTTGCGTAATGACGGTGTTTTGAGAGCACTAGTACCCCTAAACCTAGAATCATATACAGAGGGGTTCCTATATTGCGTAATAGAATCACTCCAAACATTTATGATCCTCCCAGCCATTCCACTTTTACCAAAATCTTAAAGGATTTTTTAGATGCAAAAAGTGCAGTATTTGTCAGATCAATAAATGTTCACGTAGGGGCATACTGTCCTTCAGATCAACGGCCACCTCTAGAGAACATGATATTGTACCTTTTGTTACGTGCTCCTCTTCCAATGTGGTGTACCGCCTCCAATGTCCATGTGGCCTCCAGTACATTGGAAGAACCACTCAAACCTTGCAAATCAGATTGGGGGAGCACGTAGGAAACATTAAACGAGGCTTTAAGGGGCATAGTTTCTCTCGACACTATGCTAAATTTCATAATAAGGATCCCTCAGGAACAACATTTTTGGGGATTGATAAATTAATTTTACATTGGCAGGGTAGTGCCACCAAGAGGGAAATTTCTAGATTAGAAACCAAATGGATATACAATGTCAAATGTTATGAACCCCACGGTATGAACGTGGATTGGGACATCAGTGCATTTATTAATAATGCTTGATGGACCTATCCAATTTATTTAGTCACCCTTTGTGCTTTTATGTATATATTAATTTCATTATCTTATTTTTACCATTTAAAAGTTTTTTTGATTAAATAGGATAGAACGTACATCCTACATTATATTAACTTTATTATTTACTTTTAAATTTTATTAATTTATTTGTTCATATTTTATGTAGCAATATTGTGTTTGATAGAGTCATTTATACGTTTACACCCTAGTATGGATTCTCCTGCTTTGATATTTCTCATGATATATTTAACATTTTAGAGAGTGCAGATTGTATATTCCACTTATGGCCATGTATATTTATTTATGCACACTAGATGGCAGTGTGTATACAAATTCCTCCTTTTGACATACAGGTACCTCATTTTACAAACGCCTCGGTTAATATAATTTTCGGTTTACAAATGAAAATTAATTGAAAATAATGGCTCGGTTTATGAATTTTTTTGGTAATACGAAGTGTATGTCGGTGCAGATTTTTAAATGCAATTGCCGGCTTTTTTTTTTCTTCACTATAGCTCACAGAGAGTTAACGGAAACTTTGTTTCTTTTAAGAAACTAAAAGGAAACATTGTTTCTTTTAACTCAGGGAAATAAACTAAAAGGAAACTTTCTTGCTTTTAGCTGAGGGGAAAGTGACAGCTGAATCTCTGAGCTATAGTGAAGAAAAAAAAGGAGTAATTACATTTAAAAACCAGTATCATAATAAATTAAAAAACAGCGTGTCCCCCCCCCCCATCCATACCATTGCCCCATCCATACCATTGCTATTTGGACCTGGTGTGGATTTTGAGGGGAACTTCCATGCCAAAATGAAAAATGGCGTAGAGGTCCCCCCAAAATCCATACCAGACACTTTTCCGAGCATGCAGCCCGGCAGGTCAGAAAAGGGGGGGATGATTGAGCGCCCCCCCGAACCATACCAGGGCACATGCCCCCAACATGGGGGGGTACTTTCCGGCAGGGGGGCTCCCCACCTGGTCGGTGGTTGTGGGGGTCTGCAGGCAGGGGGCTTATCAGAATCTGGAAGGCCCCAGATCCTGGCCCCCCCCCCCCCCATGTGAATGAGTACAGGGTACATAGTCCCGCTACTCATTCACAAAAAAGCAAAAAGTGTAGTGTGAGATCTACCCCCCTCTTACTGGAAAACAGGACATACAACTCTCTTCCCTCTTGTCGGGCCTGGAATAGAGATTTAGACACTAACCTATCAGACTCCGACTGGGATTTAATTTTTCAGTACTCTCATAAATGCTCCCGTAATGTCTCGACCCAGGAAAACAGCTACAAAATAGCCTCTAGATGGTATCACAGACACCCCTTTGAGGATTCATCGTTTCAATCCTTCCTTTCCCAACAGCTGTTGAAGATGCGGAACTTCTGTTGGTTCGTTTCTTCACATCTGGTGGTCCTGCCCGGGCTCTTCAACCGTTTTGGCGAGAGGTTCATCGGCTTGTGGTGTCCGTGACTACCTTGCCCTTAGTTCTTTCCCCAGCTCAATTTCTCCTTCACCACTCTCCCCTTCCCAGGAGACAATACTTCAAGTCCCTGGCCATGCATATGGTCAATGCGGCCAGACTTTGTATTCCTGTTCTGTGGGGCTCCACCCGTCCTCCCTCTATACGTGATTGGCTCACCCGAGTGGGAAAAATAGCGGATATGGAGGAGTTGATTGCAACTGCACACGATACCCCCACGACATTTTCTCACGTATGGGCCTGTTGGACACATTTTCTGACTACTCCTGTATACCGATCTCTTATGGACCAGTCGGTCTGAATTCAATTGAACCCCCTGAGGGCGCTACTCTCTCTTGTTTGACTCTGTGGGGGCAGATTACCCCCGTTTGTCCTCCTCCCCCAACCGACCGATTCTGATGACAGGCTGGAATTTTGTATGTTTGGCGACTGTATCACCGTATGGATAACAATCACTCTGTTATTCCCTTTCTCATTTGCCCACCCCCTGTGCTGCTCCTCCCCCCCCCCCCTGTTTTGTTTTTATTTTGTTTTGTTTTGTTTTGTTCTTCTCTCTTACTCTCCCCCCCCCCTTTCTTTTTTTGTTTTTCTCCGCTCTATGGCTTCTTTTCTTCATTTCAGACTAACCTCTGCATGCATTGGTCAACTACCCAAAGGACAATTAGCTATGATGACAGAATCACTTCCTCTTTCATACTAGCAGTATACTTGATCACACATTCTCACATCCGCGCTCAGACGCCTCCACCACTTTCAACTTATAGCACTGACTCTGGCTTAGACGTCGTTTGCGCTCTTCTCCCCGCTGCAGATCCACACTTTGTGACGTTATCAGAGGAGGTCTGGGGCCTCCTGGCCTAACGCGTTTCATTACAAGCGTCCTAATGTATTTCAGGCACTACCGTGTCGTGGTTTAGTTACCCCACACTGCTTTGTTTTTGTAATTGTACTTGTTTTCATGCACTCTTGACTGGATGTGTGTGTTGCTAATTGTCTTTCTCACATTTCATGTTTATCTTAGCTTATTATGTCAATCTGTATTTCACAATAAACATTATTTTTTTTGGAAAAAAAAAAAAAAAAAGTGTAGTGTGAAAAAAGACAGGACACGGTCTTTGACAAGTCCTTATTAAAAGAAAAAAAAAAAGAATGTCCCCCGCAGTAGATCCAACATCAATCACAATGTCTGCTGCGGTCGCCGACCCGAAAAAAGAATGAAAAAAAAAGGCTCCATTTCCGATGATGGCTTCCGGCCCTCTGCCTGCTCCAGTGGTTTGACAGTTCTTAAATATGTAAAGGGCGGGGCCACCCAGGGACATCACACATGTGACCCCACCCCATGTGACATCAAGTAATTTAATTAGTTCTGCAAGACTTTTCGTATAGCAAAAAATTTGTAAACCGAGGTATGCCTATATTTTGTCGATTTGGAGCAATAACCTTTGAATCTGATCTGGATGATCAGATTTATTATACATGATTATTTATCATTCAAACATTTATGGCCATACACGATTTGGCCACTCTATGTGGATTTGGCCAATTACATATGTGTTTGGCCATCATTCATGTCTCTTTTGTTTTCCATATTGAGGCTTGGCATTCACACTGGCTTCTTCTGGTATTACACACTGAGGGATAGGATTATCAAATTGAGGCTTGGATTCACTTCCTGCATGGACATCGTTGATCCAGATGTCCCTATACTGCAGAATGAAACAAAAAACGAGAAGAACACAACCTTGCGCATTACCTCAGTAACAAAATTTAATGATAAAAAAATGGTACTCCCAAACAGCGAATAAAATCAAGCATATAAGTCCTCCAAGGGACTTCAGAGACAGGAAGCCAGCGCGAATCCCATCATGGGGGTAAACACTCAGTACAGCTGACGCGTACTGAGGGATCGACAAGGGATCGTCGGGCGGAATTCTGAATTAGAACCAACATCTTTCATAATCTATATTTTGGCCTATAACTTTCCAGCTGCACAAGCGACAATCTCTCCGTGGGTATTTTATTATGCAAATAAGTCTAGGGATCATGTAGATATGAATTATGAGATTGTACGTTACACGGTGTACGAGTTCTATGTTTTGGCTCCCTGGAGCATGCGAAACGTGTGGAGAGACCTATCAGAATGTCCGTCTGCACATTGGCCATCTGACAAGGTGCCTGGGTTTTATGTAAGTCTTCCATATTTCAAGCTATGAAACACAGGAGAAAAACTGACTTGAGGAATGTTCATTTAATTCTGTCACCTACGCTGCTAGGTTTTATGAGGTTACAATCTCTTTCAATTCCTGGGAAAAGCTGCCTTATCTCTGTTACGAGGTGAGAGATTCCAGAGGTTCTTGGGCAGAGCGGCTCTGTCTCTCTTGGGGGGCTTTGTAGCTCTGGGCCCCCTGCTGCTCTAGCCTGCTAGTGACCCACAACCAGATGTCACTGTGGCTGAACAGAGAGGGAAGGGGGGGAGGATGCAGGAAAATATATTTCAGGATGGTTAGTCCCTTTGCCAAGATGGAGGTTGAAACCAAAATGGTTGAACTGCATCCATCTCTAATGCGCGCTTTTGCGACACCTCCCTCTTACATTATTGCGCTGTCGGCCATCTTGGATATGGTTCATGTAAATGCTTTTAACTACTTGCCAACCGCAGATAGCCGAATGATGGCTACACTGCGGCCGGTCAGTTCTGGGAGGGCGTCATATGACGTCATATGACATATCAGCCGTGTCCAGTGACATGCTGATCACCGGGAAATGCAATTGCCGGTTCTCGGCTGCACTTTCCTCACGTTGTCAGAGTGTGAGAAAAGTACTGCCGAGAACCGGCAGTTGTCAGAGCAGGGATCGGCACCGATCATCAGGGCACTGATGATCAGTGCCCTGATGATCGGTGCCCAGCAGTGCCATCCACCAGTTTCACACACCTGTGCCCAGCTGTGCGCCCACCTCTGCCCAGCAGTGCCACCCTCCTGTGCCCACCAGTGCCACCCACCTGTGCCCATCAGTGCAGCCCAGCAGTGCTGCCAGTCAGTGCCACCAGTCAGTGCCCAGCTGTTGTGCCAGTCAGTGCACAGCAGTTGCACCAGTCAATGCCTAGCAGTGCCGCCAGTCAGTGCCCAGCCGTGATGCCAGTCAGTGCTGTCTATCAGTACCCATCATCAGTGCCGCCTATCAGTGCCACCTATCAGTGCCGCCTATCCGTAATACCTCATTACTGCTGCCTATCAGTGCTGCCTATCAGTGCCCTTTAGTGCTGCCTATCAGTGCCCATCAGTGCTGCCTATCAGTGCCGCCTATCAGTGCCCATCAGTGCTGCCTCATCAATGCACATCAGTGAAGGAGAAAAATTATCTGTTTGAAAAATGTTATAATTTAAACAAAGAAACTTTTTGTTTTACATTTTTTGCACTTTTTTTTTTTATAGCGCAAAAAGTAAAGCACCCAGCGGCGATTAAATAACACCAAAAGAAAGCTCTATTTGTAAGAAAAAAAATGATAAAAATGTAATATGGGTACAATCTTGCATGACCGCGCAATTGTCAATCAAAGTGCGACAGTGCTGAAAGCTGAAAATGACCTGGTAAAGAAGGGGGTATAAGTGCCCGGTAGGCAAGTGGTTAATTGTTCTACATCTTGTAAGTAGGATCCTATTTGTGCAAATAAATAATTTTTTGATACGTATTGCACTATGAGAGGCATGTTTTTTCTTCATGACCTTGTCTGGCACTACACTTTGAGTTTACATTTGAGTTGGAGTCTGGGAACTTCTATGCTTTGGGGTGTGAAATGGGAAGCCTGTCAGTGCTCTACATTATAAAGCTGGTGGGGACCCCCTGTAATTAAGGGGTCTCCATTTCTGGTAAGCCTCCATTTGTTACTTTGGTGGTGATGGGCACTCTGGTGACCAGTTGAAGCAAGTTTATCTACATTGCACTTACAGCATTGTCTACTGTAATACCATCAATTGTGGAATTTTCTTCTCATACTCATGGATTATGGTTTATGTCTATATGGACTTTATTTTTTGGTTTTTGAAATGTTTCTACTAACCTTTATGTATATTTGAGGTGAATTTTTTTGCACATTGAGATTTTACCTATCCTTAACCTCGATCACTCTGTGTGAGGGTCTTCATAGGGCTCATAGATAATGCATGATATTTTAAGTTAATTTGACCACATATCACGGTTTCATACAAGTATTTGAATACTGTACTCACTCAGCTTATTCAAATTTTGATCGCCCTTCAGAGTGGTTAGGGTCTTCATAGGGCATATGTATGCACTTGTTTAGTTTAACTATTACAGTGTTTTATTTTAAATTTTTGATCACTTTTCAGAGGTGTGAAGGTCTTCATGGTGCTCATAAAGTTTTAAGGGTTCACCTAGCGCAGTATCCATTTGAATTAGCCTTTTAAGAGACGATATCCTCTTATATACCTGCAGCTTTGTGACTTCAGTTGATTAGGGATTTGTGCGGTTTGATCTTACATACAATCATCTCTATAGTCTAAGAGACCAGAAGCTGCGAGCATTTCATCAGTTTCGCAGGATATAAACGACGCCATTTGTAAATTGGGAAAGCATCTGATCACACCGATCTTGGTGAGATTAATTAACGTAAGGGCAGAGGATTTCTCAAAAAAGAAAATGCCCATTGACGTTATAGGGGATATTTGCATTCCCTGTGATAGCATTATAAGTGATCAAAAGAAGAAAAAAAAAAAAAGCACCCTCGTCCACCAACCCCCCTGCATTCGTGAGCGTTGACCCTGTGCTGGTATATAAACAGCGGTTGCACCATGCATGTGAGGTATCGCCACGAACATCAGATCAAAGGCAGAAATTCTAACACTAGATCTCCTCTGGAAGTTTAAAATGGTAGCTTGTAAAGGCTTTTAAAGCATTGCTTATGGATATTAAAAATATATGCAGTTTGTCGCCATTGCACGGGGCATTCACAGTTTTAAAGCATGTCATATTTGGTATATATTTACTAAGCATACCATCATCTTTAATAAATGGCCAATATATTGTGTTATTTTTGCATTAAAAGTAGTGTTTTTTTTTTAAATTTGCAATTGAAAAATCGCTGCGTGAGTACTATGTGACATAAAAAATTGCAGCACCCACCATTTTATTCACTAGGTTGTTTGCTTTAAAAAATATATAATGTTTGGGGGTTTAAATTAATTTCCTGGCAAAAAATACAGATTTTTTTTATGTGAACAAAAAGTGTCAGAAAAGGCTTGATCTTCAGGTGGTTTGAAGAGTGAGTGATGTGTGGCATAAACTTCTAATTCTGGGCATAAAATGTTTGTACTGTCCTGGTATTTTAGTACCTCCAAGAAATGTGGTGGGCAGTCAGAGTAACAGGTGTCTAAATTCCATTATCTATACCATAGTTTGTAGATGCTATGTAGCAGGCTCCTTGTACACGAGGATTCAGAAGGAATCACACGTTCAGCAGTCGGTCCTTCCTCTCTCTCCCCTATTTGTAAAACCTGGGCATTCTGCCAAGTTCATGACTCATCCACTACACAGCAAAGAACGCTGGGAAGGGGAGGAAGCAGGAAGTGAAGGGGAGAACAGAGAGACATGAGGCTGGAGAAAAGACAGGGACACGTGGAGCCCGTCCAAGCAGAGGAGGAGGCACTACAGCACTCAGCGCGGATAGAGGGATCCTGCTGTGTGTTCAGAGTCTGGTGAGCTGTCCCACTGGAGAGAGTAAGACACACCATTTACACTTTGCATATAGACTGGGACATCCGCACCCCACTGCTGGGATCTCACCCATCCGGGGCCCTGTGCAAGCCACAGATCCCTCTGCCTGCTTTGCCCCTCACCACCAGTGTAATTGAGACTGTCTGCCCCGGGGACTGACACATACTGGGAGATTGCATCCTGCAACTGCCCCTGGTCTTGGGGTGCTTTGTGTTGCTTTTAGACACTGAGGTTGGACCCTCTCAGCCCAGAAACCTAGTGAAATCGGATGTAACCCACACCAGCTGAAACTCCAAAGAAGCCTTCAGCTGCTATTTACTTCATTGTAAGGACTAAACGTGCATCAACTAGAGCTCCACCGTTACAAGGACTGAAGTGTGGGAATCTGGCTTAGTAGCTTTATTAGAGGTACATCTTTATTGCATTCTGTTCTGACTCTGAGGTGATTTTTGACTAACGCCCCTCAGAAGCAGAATCATACCCCGGTGTGGGTAATACATTTCATTGATAGAGCATAAGTAAGTTTATTTGTTTGATATCAGTTGTATTCTGCTTAAAGTGCAACTCTGCCATCCGGAGACTCTTGGCTGTGAAGCCCTCTAGTGGCAGACCAAATTTACTGCATTGCATAAAAGAAGAAAAGTAAGTTTTGAAGTTGAAAGGGGAACCCCACCCCTCTACACTGCATTTCATTCTCCATAAAATTGTTCTTGTTTCATTTAACCCTGTGTCACCAAATTTCTTGGCGGGGTATTTGCTATTCATTACCAGTTGTGCCAGAGGGATTGGGTTTGCTTAGGGTTGGATCTATTGAGCGCAGGACACATAATATATTCCAGCTTGTCCCAAGGGGCAGTGCTACAGCTATAACATTCACACAAAGCAATCAATATACACTTTATTGAGTCAGGTTAGGGGGTCCCCAAATGAGACATTTCATATGAGAGAGTGAGTCCAAATTGATAAAGAAAGGTGCATTTATTACCCTGCAGTGGAGATAATATAGCATACAGAAGTTCATCTTGTATGAGGTGGACTAAGGTAATCAATATATCTAATATCTTAAGCTTTAAACTGATACATTTATAGTCAAAAAGTCTGGCAGTGATCGTATAGTTCTATTCCAATCAGAACCTTATGTTTAATAGCAAGCTTAGTTAAACGGGTGTTAACATCATGTGACCAGTCCAAAATAGAAACTTGTTGTCATCTGCCATGACAGTTGCTGGTTGAAACTGGTTTGGCCGCAAGATGCTTTTCTTAAACTTGAAGGTAGGCAGGTAGGCCACTAGTTCACCTCGTGGATGCTTACATCACAGGCACAAACTTCAAACCACATTTTCCTAAGAAGGAAGAAAGGGCAAAGTGCATTAAAAGCTCTTAGAAAAATGACAGTATATATGTTTACAAGAACCTTCATTGTTAGACCCCCATCATTTCTACTCAACTTTTTTTTTTACCAAAAACATGTAGCACAATACATTTTGGCCTAAATTTTATTATGAAATTTTAGTTATTTTTGGATATTTTTTTAAGATATGAGAAAATATTGTTTATTTTTTTTCCAAAACTTTTTTTGTTTATAGCACCAAAAATAAAGTGCACAGGTGGTCAAAAACCAACGAAAGAAATCTTTGTGTGAAAAAACACATACATTTCATTTATGTACCGTATTGCATGACCGCGGAATTGTCAGTTAAGCTAGTGCAGCGCTGTATAGCAAAAAAAAAGGCATAAATTGCAGTATCTATACCATAATTTGTAGACACTATAACTTTCACACAAAGCAATCAAAAGCCTAAATTTATGACTAACTTTGAGTTTACTATATTTTTTTTATAGCCTAAAGTAAAAAATTTTGTTTTTCTTAAATTTTCAGTCCTTTTTTTTTCTGTTTAAAGCGCAAAAAATGAAAAGCGCACAGGTGATCAAAAACCACCGAAGAAAGCTCTATTTGTGTGAAAAAAAGGACGTAAATTTAGTTTGAGTACAGCATTGTACCGTATTTTTCGCTCCATAAGACGCACCTGACCATAAGACGCACCTAGGTTTTAGAGGCAGAAAACAGGAAAAAAAATTCTGAACTAATGGACTGCAGACATAGTACAGGAGATGACCAGAGACTGCGGACACAGTACAGGAGATGACCAGAGACTGCGGACACAGTACAGGAGATGACCAGAGACTGCGTTCACAGTACAGGGGATGACCAGAGACTGCGGACACAGTGCAGTAGATGACCAGAGACTGCGGACACAGTGCAGGGGATGACCAGAGACTGCAGACATAGTACAGGAG